TTCTAAGAAAGTAAATTACTTGAAAACTCATACGTCTGTATAAGATGATTATACAAACAAAAGAAGGTGGTTATTTAGGTATATGTGTGTATTTTGCATATTTTAAATATTCAGAGTAGCACTTTAAGAAAGATTTAAAATAGAATTACTGGAATGGCAAAAAAAGAGATTGTTTCTTTTAGACTCTTCATCTTGTAATTGAAAATTTCAAAGCAGAAGTCTTCAATTCATTTTACTGGTTGATATGCATTCCTACTAATTAAGATGATTCTTCATTGGGTACTTGGTAATGTGATTACCTTTTTAGATTCTACACAGGCCATATTCAGACATTGTAATTTGTATTTTTTTCTGCCACAATTTTCTGCCATTATACTTGTGAAGGTCCTTTCATGTTGAGTCTGTTTCAAAATAATTTCAAACTTTTCAAGACAGTTCAAAGCGTTATTCACACTGAGGAATTGGGAGCCTCATTTTCTATGCAGTTGAAATCCAAAGATTTCAGTCTCTTAAACTTTAAAGAAAACATAGCCAGCTTTCTTTTTGTTAATTGAACTTAAAATATGTAGGCTCTTTTGTGTTTATGAATTAGAAAAGCAAAAGGTTATTCGAAGAGAAAAATTGCATGGAGAAATTCCAGGGTTGAAGCTGTACACATGCCAGATAATACAATCTTTTGTTTTTTCTTTTAAGAAAGAGTAACATTAAATGTTTGCTTAGTTTGAGAATATAAACAGGAGTATAAGAACTAAAAATAAAAATATCTGTCATCATCCCATGATTTATAACTAAATGTTAATATTTTGATGTTTCCTTCCAATTGCTTTATTTCTATGTTTTTAAACATACAGGAAACCATATTATTATAAGTAAAACCCATACTACAGTTTTATTTCCTTGACTTACTATGTTGTCCAAGACCTCCAATATTATGTTGAAAACTTTTGCTGCTAGTGAATAACTTTGTCTCTTGAAAGGAATGTTTCTAAATTTTCTTTACTCTGAATAATACTTTCTATGTGTGTTTGGCAGATGATTTCTATCATTTAAAAAAAAGTCACTTTATATTTCTAGTTTTCCAACAACTTTCTATCCTAAAAGACACTGAACTTTATTATTTTTTCCTGCATCTTTCAGATGATGGTATGGTTTTTCTCATTTGAACCGCAGTGTGATGAGATTACAGTGATTTATTTCAGTCCTATTAAACTTTGTTATATTTTTAGTTATCCTCTTTTGTTTGTTTTATTTTGTAATACAGAATAGTTTTGTTTTTAGTTTTCTTTGTTGCTTAGTCTTATAAGACTACCATGTTAGTCATGAAAAAAACAAAACCAGCCAAGGTTTAAGTACTGCTGATTTTCTCCTTTGCTTGTTGTTCAGGTCACTGATTCCTGCCTTGGGCATTTTGTTGCAGGAATGGGGCTGGGAGTCAGGGGTTGTCCACAGCGGTAAGAAAGCGAGGAGCGGAGGGTTCGCCCTCACTTCCCTTCTCCTCCCCAACCCTGGACTGTCCAGTCTTTTTATCTGACAGCAAGTAGAAAGAGGACTTGAGTGGTAAGGAGGATACAGCTTGAAGGGAGATGGAAAAAAGTATGGCAGGGCGGAGTAGAGTGTGGAAAGACAGAAAACCTCAAGCCATTCCTGAGGAGTGAAGGAAAATTCTGGTCTGAGCGCAATAAATGGCAAAGGATGCAGTGAGCTCAGGGGCTGTCTCTGTTTCCCTCTCTAGTCACTGGCTACCAGAAAGGCAGTATTGGGGGGTTTCACAAGAGAAACACACACTAGGTTGAACAGATAAGTGAATGTCTGTCACTAATAAACCGCTATCAGTAATGATTCATTCTCGCAAATCATGGGATGTTATGCCTAGACCAATCTGAGTGATGAAAAATAACTATTTCTTATAAGCATTTTAAAAATTGCTTTTTACTTGTTCCAAAAGTAATTTAATGTGGCCGTGCTAATAATAATAGAACGGCCTATCCTGAAAAGCTCACTCGGGTAAGTCCTTTAGCGCCTGTGCAGCGATCTTAGATTGATTCTGAAATGCCGAGGGGACTGCCCTCGGCAGCTGTTTACCTCTTATGTTTGTGGTAGTTGCTGCTGTTCTACTGCGAGGCTGAGAGTATGGCTGCAACGTGCTCCTCAGTACTGTGTATACCTTCGGATTCCGAGAGGTTGGAAAGTATTTAGGCAATTTTCAGTCCTGTTAAACTCGGAGGAATAAGTTCTTACCTAGTGGGTTTTACATCTTTATTTGTCATTAGGCCTAGTTGAGACTGGAATAAAAAGAAGTAAATGGGATTTTCTTTAGTGGATGGAGAGATACAGTTTTGTCAGATAAATATTGGACTGAGAAGTAGAAGGCAAGGGAAATATAATGGGAAAGTTCTGGAGATGAGATAGTGGCTCAAATCCATAGATTAACTTCAATGGATCGTTTAAGTACTGCTAGAAAAAACTTGCAGCTGAATAACAGAATTTGGTCAGGTAATAGACCAAAAGGAATTTTAGTAAATTCTTGCTGCATTCTCCTTTGTTTTCTTATTCTCCCACTAAGTGGAAAAAAAATTGTATGTTAAGGACATAATTGAATGCTTTAACATTGAAGATATTCAATAAATTCTTTACTTTTCAGTTTTTATTCTGTTTTATTTCCCCCAATCTGTCCTTTTGTATTCCTTTTCTGTTTGTATTTATGATCAGGTTTCTACTGTTCAAATTAATACAAGTGCAAAAATTATTCAAATATATCTGGCAACCAAATAACCAAAGTGGATATTGACTTCACAAATATGTTAGTAAGGTTTCTTCCTCATTCACAGAGATGAGACATATTGAAAAAAGCTGATAGTATGTATGTTTTTCTTTTTTTCCAAGTAAATTTTTTTAGATTTGAGGGTAGAGTTAGTATTTCACTCCTTTTTTAAAATTTATATAATTATAAATTAATTGATACTCAAAATGCATGGAAACATAATCTTATCGGAAAGCTAGTTAGCAGTATCTACTTAAATGTACATCTAAGCTTGTGGCATAGCAGGCCTGCTCATGACATGTGCCCAAGAGAACATGTGTCCACCAAGGGATAGACACCCCAACTGAGCTCTTGCTGTGTTTGCTTTTGATCCTCAAAACTGCGTTATTTTTCAGGACGTTTTTCATTGAGTTCATATTATTTTGCATTTCAGATTAGAAGTAGCTTGTGAAGAGGTTTTAAGTAAAAAGGAAAAGCCTGTCCAAGTTTGAAAATTAACCAAGGATGGGCTATGTATTTATATATAAATATATTTAATATATAACATAGATTATATATTTATTATAATATACATTTACATTGATTCTTGAACAACACAGTGGTTGGGGTGCCAATCCCCATGTGTATAACTGTTGAATCCCCCAAAACTTAACTGTTAATCACCCACTGTTGACTGGAAGACTTACTGATAATGTTAACAGTCAATTAACACATTTTATATGTTGTATGAGGTCTGTCCGGAAAAAAATCCAGCCATTCTTAATATGCTGAGAACGATTTGCATGACATTGCTGGAACCTGGCAGCCAAGGAGAGTGGACTGGAATGTGCGTGTGTGAACAATGACACTTCACTGTACTAGTCAGTGGGGGTGGTAGAGGCCCTTGAGTGAGCATGTGTACTGTGTGGCCGTTGCATTCAAAATGACTGAGTGAGTACAGCAACAAACAGATCTGCATCAATTTTTGTGTTAAGCTTGAACATTCCTCTATGGAAACCATTCAGATGACTCAGGAGGCTGCAGTTATGGGCAACCAGTGACTGGCAGCTTCATCATGACAACACACCTGCTCATGCATCACATCTCGTGCCAAGTTTTTTGGCAAAACATCAAATCGCCCAGGTGACTCAGCCCCCCTGTAGCCCAGATTTGGCGCCCTGTGACTTCTGACTTTTCCCAAAACTGAAATTACCTTTGAAAGGGAAGAGATTTCAGACCGTTGATGAGGTTAAGAAAAATACAACAGGCCAGCTGACAGCAATTGGGAGAACTGTGCGAGGTCCCAAGGTGCCTACTTTGAGGGGAACTGAGGCATCATTGTCCTATGTACAATGTTTCTTGGATCTTGGATCTTTTTCAATGTATGTTTCTATTTTTCATAGTACATGCCTGCGTACTTTCAGGACAGACCTCATCATGTATTATATAATGTATTTTTAAAATAAAGTAAGCTCTGGAAAAGAAAATCGTATTAATAAAATCATAAGGAAAAATACATTTACAGTACTATATATATTTATTGAACTGTAAGTTTACGTTTTCTGCCAGTACTTACATTAACATTATCTTATATGATACAAAACACTGTAGATGTATGTATTGCTAATGCTAGACATCAAAACTGGAAGCATAAATTGAAAAATAAATTTGTATAATGATTCATGCATTGATAACAAATAAGCAGCAATTTAATTGTTTTATGGTAGCCTAGTATAAGTGATACAATTGTCTCATGGTAGTAAGAAAATGTTTCAAAAATGTTTCCAATATATTCATTTAAAAGATGTGCATGCCTTTTGCATATTTTTTGATGGACTCACACAGTTCAAGTCCGTGTTGTTGAAGGATCAACTGTAGATTAGAAGCTCTCTTAAGCTATGTGCTTTAACTCTTTTATATTCTTTTTGTTCTACTTACATTGCTTATTTAATAGGAATAGAAAATAAAAAAAAACTTTTGTATTAAACTCACATGACTAAATTAATGCTGAACAACACATAAAGGTACAAAGCGGCTATCAATGAGGAGTTATGGTCAAGCTCATCAAAAGTTTACAATTTTTACTTTATTTGTGTTAATGACTTATCCAAGGTTTCCTATTTTACAGATGGCTAAGAGCTTTCCACATGTTTATCAGGGTTCTTTGACTTGTGTATAGTGGACTTGGGGTCTCTGGCTTTCCTGAGTAACTGCTAAGGCCTGACTAACTCCTTGCTCCTTTTGACTCTTGTTTTTCCAGGCCGCCTTGCAAGTCGGGGGCCACGGGGAAAGGCTGCACCAGTGTCGCGAGGTCATGCTGCTGACGTACAAATCCATCCCCATGCAAGTGGATGGAGAGCCCTGTAGGCTGGCGCCGGCTATGATCCGGATCTCCTTGAGGAATCAGGCCAACATGGTGCAGAAGAGCAAGAGGAGGACGTCCATGCCTTTGCTCAATGAGTGAGTCGGCCCCTCGCCCACCTCCGTGAGCCCGAGGGGCGTGTAGAGGAGATCGCAGAGCATGTGCATGGATGGGGCCTCGCTGTGTTGAGAGAGGAACAGCAGTCCCGGGCACGCGGCAGTTCCTGAGTCGCTCTCACAGTTTTTCTTCATGTTTATTAAACAGCGACCACTTTCTTCTTTTAGAAATCATTACCGTGTTATATGTTAGATTGATGGTGCTTCTTCACCGACCACCTGGGACCAGCGGGAAATCATTAAGAGTGATTCAGGGCCATAAAATGCATCCAGATCAAGGGGTTCTTTTTTCACTTTGTTGTAAGAGGTCAGTCTGTGTGGCTCCTCTTTACCCCGGGCTCTTGGAGAGCGCTGGTTTCTCCCATCGCAGGAGGCTGGCAGAGCTGGATTTTGGCTCGCCTGTCTCCACGTGGCGTCCCCTCCCGCCTGCTGGGGAATTGCCCTTTTCCTGACACTCCCGTGTCGGGATCCTGTGTGCTCTAATGCTTCAGCTCAGTTTGCCATTCTGGGTGGCATCCTGTTGTCCAGATTGACTCTGATCCACAATGCAATGCTCAAACAAAGTGTGTCCGGGCCCTCCCACCCCCCAAGCCCTTTCCTTACTTAGGGTTTGGATAAATTGATTTGAGATAAGGTGATGACTAGATATTCATTTTTTTAGCACCACTTACTCTAATTGTTTATTGAAATGTCTACTTGGGATTGGCAAAGGAGACGGATAAAGACGGAGATTTGGGTAATTTTTTTAGTATCTTCTATATATCATGCCCATATGCCTAATCCAACTCAAGGTAAGGCCATTTGGGGGCTCACACTTGGATCATTCTTCTGTCACAGTGAGGGACCCTCAAGGTGCTCCTCCTGTTTGTGGCCTGTGATGCATGGTTACCTGTTTGTACTGAATGGCTGGCTTCCTCTAATGCCTGTGAAGTAAGGACACGCTTTGCCATATAGTTATTGAGTCAACATAACAATTGACAGGACAGCCTAGAATAAACCAATGACACAGGTGCCATAGCTCACTGCCAGACTTGACCACCTCTCTTTCTGAGATGGCATATGTTGTAGAACAGCAGTAGACAGGGCTGCTTGGGAGGAAAATTATTCAACACTACATTTCTAGAAAATTAATATAGATAGCACCTTTTCAAAGGAAAGCAAAATACCTAGCTACCACAGAACACTTGTTCACTAGACCTTAATTTCTCTTACCCACTGATCTTACTCACCCTTTGAGATTAGATTGCTTTTTTCTCTTTCGCTGGAAATTCTTGTTTTGAAATCAAACTTCTTTTACTGGATTTCTAAGTGGAGTTTTCAGTTTAAGGGCAGCCTGGCCATTAAGGCCTTTGGAAACAAGTTTTCTTCCACCTTCCAAGTCTGCCAAGGTCTTCTCTCTTTTCAGCCATGGTTGTATAACGTTTGCTATTGCAGCCAAGTCAGGAAGAGATCATCGAAAAGATATTTCTTTATTTCCTTCCTTCATGTTTTCTATCCTTCTTTCCTTTTTCCTCCTTTCTGTTTTCTTTTCTCCCTTTCTTATTTTTTACTAAGACTCTATGTTTCTTCTGTTTCACCTGCCTGTCTTCTTTCAGGTGAAAGAGAACTGGTTTAAACTGTCTTAAGAATTTTAGTTAAAAACCCTCTGTTCATTGAGGGCGGGGGAGTTTCTCAGTCAGAAGAGATAGCTGTTCAATTCATCTTCGGGAGTTACCTTCCATTCACACAGCATGACAACTGTGACTATTTGAGTTGTAAGTGTTGTGGTTGCCTTCACAGCTGGCCTCTTTTCTGCTTGAGGGCCGGTGCTCCTCAGGGATTTGCCCTTTCTCTGGGAGATCACATCAGCACCCCATTTTATCTATGACTGATAAGCTAATGACTCTAAGATCTATGTCTTCAGCATGGGTTTCTTCTAAAAACTGAAGACTCATCCCCAAGCCAAGACTCATCTTGGCTGACATCTTTACCTGGATACCTCAGAACCACCTCAGACTACGTGGACTTCTACTAATGGACTCATTAACTCTATTCTGCTTACTTTTTCTCCTCATCACCTGATGAGCGTTTTGCATTCACGTGTGTGTGAGTGGAGCCACCATCCACTCATTCACTATGTCCTTGGCCCCTGGAGGCCCCTCCGTCACCTCCACTTATACACATCCAGTGCCTTCTTTGAAATCTGCCTTCCATCTAATCCCCGCATCTTTAATTTCACCATCTACCCATCCTCTCTGCTAGTTAGCTCTCAGTGGTGCTGCTGAAATGTGCTCATAATTCATTTCCTCCTTCTTGGTGTTGCTTCTCTGCACACAACGTCTTTTCCAATAGACTAGTTAGAATGACCTTTCTAAACATGTGGAGCCCACATCCTTAGCTCTACAGACCTTTGTGACTGTTGCCTTCTTCATCCTCATCCTCCCATGCTCCAGAGATCATTGCAGTTCCTGGAGCACCAGCCTGTTTTGTGCATCATCAGAGTTTTGCATTCTGGTGCCCTCCTCACCTCCTCTCATGTGCCAGCTCTACCTCAAGTTCAAGACTGCACTGGAATATCACTTTCCTAAGAATCCTTTTCTAGCCATTTCTAGACATTAAATACGCTGATTTACTTGTCTCTCTTCCCTGCTCTGTAGGGAGACCCTGGGGTTTTCCTCAGAGGTGTCCAGTACCTTTCATTGTGCCTGAGACTCATGGCTCCATGTTGAATAAGTGGCTCGCACATGGATCAGATCTATTATGCATCTCTGACTATTTCTAAAACAACAAATCTAAAATCTCATGAATATAAAAACAATGTAGGAAATGTCTTAATCCTATTTTTTTATAATAACTGGATGAATTTTGAGACCCGGTTCACATGGATAGCTGGAGGAAGTCCCATGAGAAACACTCAGATAGTAAGCCTGCACGATGCTCCTAGAGCTTGATTTATGCGAAAAGGAAAAAAAACTTAAAAAATTTCTTGGTTTATAATTCCCATTTGTTATTACTACACACAAACTAGAAGGGCAGGTCCCACTTGTGTGCAGTAGCCCTCACACCATTGGTACAGGAACATATCTCATTTTATAGTGGCTTAGAAGTCTACCTGAAATATGGACTCTAGCAAATATCTTCCCACAAAAAGGAATAGAGGAGATTTATCTAGGTTCCTATTCATGTATTAGTAATGTAGTAACCAGATAAACTTATATTCTCTATTTGAAAGGCACTTTTGAAAAAGATCAGAAATCTACCATTACTCTGTGTTTAGGGAGGCCTTCAGGAGCTGTTGCCCCTAGTTCACGAGTCATGAAGACTACGCTGTGAGGGGCGATTGCACCGTCCACGGGCAAGATTTCTAGTTGGCAGCTTTGAATTGGGCAACCAATGTCCCTCAGTGTGGCTGCTGAGAAATATTAATGGTTATAACTGATAGTCCTTTGGGAATAAGACGGAATTACTTCTTAGGTGACCTTACATGGGCATTTATACATACCCAGCAGAAAAGCTGCATCTGGGAGCTCCGGCTATTACAATTATAGTGAAACTGTTCAAGTCATTTAAGAGTGTAATTAGGTAAAAATGATAGGAAGTTTGGGGCTTAGTTTCTTGAATTCTGCATTTGTTTCCTAATAACCACTCGAGACTCTTTCCTTTAAGAAGGGACAAAAGGGAAACATTGTCTATGGCTTCACTCTTCTATCAAGAGTATGAGTGAAATTTTGGCCTCACTGTGGTGAACTTAGGCCTTTGGGGTGTTACCTGTGAAGTTCTTAAAAAGCGTGTGGTGTTTAAGTGAAGGAAGTTAAAGATTTTGTTGAGTCTATCTTTTCAAGATGGTGGTCTTAACACAAATATTCCTAGAAAGTTCTGGAACCATGAGCACTATGTTAAGAGTGAAACATACCTTTACTGTCCTCAGAGATGAGTTCACTGTGCCAGCCTCCCCCTTGTGTGTGAGTGAGTGTGTGTGCGCGCGCACTGCGCTTCCTCCCTGGACACCCCGAATGACCTGGAGCACGAGAGGAACGTGACAGCCCCTCCTGCCCCGCATCCCTGCCCAGCGTCAGTGGCCTCTTCGCATCCACCCTGCCCCCTGCCCCCTGCCCCGAGCTCCAGTCTGTGGTTTGCCTTAGAGCCAGCCTCTGCTATGTGTCCTGCTGGCTTCCTCGCTGTCACCGGCTTCTTGGATTATTTCCGTGGCTGGCTTGATTTTCCTTTTCGTTCACCATGTGGTGATGCGCTCGTTTAATTTCTGTTTAAATTTGGTGTGTCTCTCTTTCTCTCTCCTGGCTTGTTCCCTGTCTGTCCACGCTGTTGTGCTGACTGTCTTCGCTGCTCATTCCCTGCTGCCTCTAGTCTCCATCAGGTGCAAGCTGCGGACCTGCGGAGAGTGTCTGCCCCCCCTGGCTCCTTCACCATGTGAGTACCAAGCCGGTCAGTTTTTACATTTTGTCTCCCACCCTCGTCTCCTCCCCAGGGGTAGACGACCTGCGTCCTTTTCCTTCACAGGCCTACTTCTCAGACAAAGAACTGCCTTCTTTACCCCTTCTTTGCTTTGAGATGGAGCTGTGAAGGTCACTGTGTTCTACTTGTCTCCTTCCTCTATGAGGTCACAGTGTAATTTTTTTGATGAGATACTTTAGGGCCCATAATTGCACAGGGTTGTACAAAATTCCATACTAAGCACTGGTTTTTATGGAAAGTTGGTGATGCCATTAGACCATTCCTATGGTCTAATTATCTGTGGCTCAGGGAGGATGTTGAAGAAGTGCCTGCGGACCTTGAGTCATGGACAGACCCCCTAAAATTATGAATGGAGTTTTGAGTATATGCACTTGCACCTGTGCATTTTGATGGGTTGAGGATGCCTGGTTGTAATAGAGGAGCAATGACCAAAAACTCTCACTGAGTTAGCAAATGCCTTTTATACACAGTAATTTGTACTTAACATACTCTATGTTTTTATTTTTATTTTTTTTCTGGTGAAAACAGAC